TTCTGGGAAGTTGCAGCACAACGACTAGTAGTGGTCATTCATGGAATCACGCAGGGTATATTATATGCATTGTCTAAGTTGTACACACCATCATGGGAACAAGATAGTGTTTTCCGAATGTTTGATGTATGAGATATTGGACGACATGGGACGTCAAAGGACTACTTGGACGCAACAGCAGATTGCAAGAAACTAAGAAGAAGACCTCAGCAGGTATGTGTTGCCATTTTATGCAAAGAATGCTGTAATAAAATATATGAGAGAATATTTATTAAATGATTATTTTTGAGATAGGGACATGCGGGGCCTCCCTGGGCCAAACACAGTCTACCGAGAGGTAAGGAGGCCGATGGTGATTTTTCGGAGACAGTTGGTTAGGTTTCCGTAATCACAAATCACTTCAGATAATCTGTAAGTGCCATTTTATTAATCCTACATGAAACGGTGTAGAACATATCCAAAGACAACAGAACTCAGGGTGTCATGGAGAAGTCCCAACAGGAGCTTCAGCGAGTGCGGCTGAATGGGAAGTGCAACTCGACAGCAGTTTGCGCAACAATACGAGGATATTGCCCAAATTACTTCGTGAGTACAACGATGACTGCGTTAGGGGCAAGAGCAAATATGATAAATTCCTACTGACCCTTCGCGGTCTAGACTAAAGATATGCATACTTACACGTGTTTTCAACCTCATTGTAACGACGATAGAAGCAGTACAAAAAAACACGCTCTCCAGGTCTGACTCCAATCAAACTCCACGCTATTCTGATGTATGTAGCGAGTCATCTGTGCACCAAAACGGCCAAGCTGTACTTCACGGGTACTAGTACGTTGTTTATGTCCACGGTCTGAATCTCTGAATAGTTTATTTGTTCAGTAAACACACAGAACCGAACCAAATGCAACCGAAACTGGCGTGTGCACGCACTAATCATATCACACATATCCACAAATACATCTCAGCCACATTGTCCAGTAGGACAAAGGGTAACAAAGGCTACTTTTCAAGCGTTAGCGAGAATTTTGTTGTACCGAAAAATGTGTTTACCACGCCACGAATTATTCCTTGATATGAACACCGAAGGTGACCTTTACGAAAAGAACGGCCATCACCAGTAACAACTACAAACCTAACCACGCCCTGAAACAGCTATTCTACGCCACAACTGCATGTTTTCGAGGAAAAATTCTCAGACAAGCGAACGCCCATCCTTACCTCACAATGGCCGCCCTGCACTGACGCTACAATCTGGGGGCGATCGCCGGATCCAAATAATATCCATCCGCTCCTACATCTGGAGGGTCACATTATGACTAATAAAATGCAAAAATAGAATCTACCGCACCAAGGTGAAGACTTTTCATATTAGTATGTGTTATGTGTCCTATTAACAACATATTTGGCATATTTCATACAACAATCGTGTCCTGTTTGCCTCGCACTACTTTATGGCGGTGAATTGATACGATCGGTCTGGAGGGGGTATTCGGTAGAGCATTGCAAAAAGCCAAGAGGCTTGTTTGGGGGTTTTAGAGAACGCCGTTCAACACAAGATTTGCGAGCAAACCTTACATATTTCATATCGATCCTCCCTGAATATATCTTTTAAAAATCACAATCCATAGAATGAAACATTTCATAAAAAAAGAAGAGAAGAAGAGTACTCGTGTACTCAAAGTGAAATAAAAGTTTGAGCATTTCTTACCTTCAATGAAGGTAGAAAAAGGCCATGATCGATCACGTTTTACGATAAATTACGATTCGTCTACGCTCTGCGTACAATTAAAACCACCGATTAAGCTCAACGGAAAAGGGCTTGCGGGCCCCCACTAAATTAGGGATATCCATTTTACTGTGTTTACCATTTTCCATTTTACTGGTCATGATCCAGCAAGCGCAAGTTTCCTAGGTACGGGCATGTTACACTTGAACGGGACCATACAAGTTGTTTACGTTTTGATGCGGTTAAAATGGTGCGTGCTTTACGTTGAAGAAAGATTTGCGCTGGTTTTGATCTCAGACTCCTCAAAAACCTTGTCTGGCAAATAGAGACTTCAACATCCCCCAAATTACACAACAGGAGTGTATTTTGTATAGTGTAGAGGCATTTTGAGATTCCACAGTGGGAAGGGTAAAAAAAAAGTCGAGAACAGTGGACACACGGATATATTGTTTCGGTTCGACATAAGTTTCTACCATAACTCACTCAGGTTTTTTGCTACACGCCATGCTTTTGTTTCCATGTAAAAGTAAGTACAATAATTACCTACATGGTACGAGCATCGACGGTTAGCCCGGAAACTCACGCGGTGGGGGCCGGTGTTCCGGGAGATATGGGGGCGCCGGGAAATTTGGGGCCACTTCCATATATGGCGGAAGGGGGCGTGGCCTAAAAACTACGAAGGCCCAAAGCAACAATGTCGTGTCTTTCATTCAATGCCAATTATGTTAGATTCATCTAGCAGTATATTTCATAATAAAACAGTAACCATTGTACACGTTGTCTTTTCTCATCAAATGTTCTATAGTATTCGTTCAAAAAGGAATTCAAGGGACCCGCTAGCTTACCGCTAAGCTAGCAACTTTGAGCCAGCAACATAATATTTGAGTTATTTTCAAAGATCGTGTTGTCGTTTTTCATCCCTTTAGTGTCTTTTATAAGGGGAGACTAATTATCCCGGGAAAGGAAGCCGTGATATTTGGGTACCCCCATTTGAATTGACAATCTCTTCTCAACATCACTTTACATTGTACTTGCTGCTAAACTTTCAGCCAGTAACATAACATTTTAAGTTGAGATCAATTATAAAGGTTGGCATCGAAAATGCTGTCGTATGTCATCACTTTAATTCACAGGAAAGGAAGCCGGGATATTTGGGTACCCCACCATTGGTCATAACAGGGGACCGAAATTTATTAACTGCTAATTTGACATTTTTGAGACACCAACAGAACATTTTAAGTCGTGGTAAAAGGTTCGCACCCGACATACTGTCATATTTTATCACTTTAGTGTATTTCATAAGGGGGGACCAAAAATCCCGGGAAATTTGGAACCTGGGATATTTGGGGTCCCCCCATTAGAACTAACATTCTCTTCTCGAAATCACGTTTTTACTGTTTACCTGACACTTTTGAGACATCAACAGAACATTTTGAGTCGTGGTTAAAGGTTCGCATCCAACATAATGTCATATTTCATCACTTTAGTGTCTTTCATAAAGGGGGACCGAAAATCCCGGGAAATTTGGAACCCGGGATATTTGGGTCCCCCCATTAGAACTAACATTCTCTTCTCGAAATCACGTTTTTACTGTTTACCTGACATTTTTGAGACATCAACAGAACATTTTGAGTCGCGTTCAAAGGTTCGCACCCAACATGCTGTCATATTTCATTACTTTAGTGTCTTTCATAAAGGGGGACCAAAAATCCCAGGAAATTTGGAACCCGGGATATTTGGGTCCCCCTCATTAGAACTGCTAATATCTTGTCAAAATCAATTTATTTACTGCTAACTTGGCACTTTTGAGACACTAACAGAACATTTTGAGTCGTGTTCAAAGGTTGGCATCCATGTATTGTCCTAATTCGTAACTTTAGTGTCTTTCATGAGGGGGACCAAAAATCCCGGGAAATTTTGGACCCGGGATATTTGGGTCCCCCCATTAGAACTAACATTCTCTACTCAAAATCACTTTTTACTGCTTATCTGACATTTTTGAAGAGAATGTTAGTTCTAATGGGGGGACCCAAATATCCCGAGTTCCAAATTTCCCGGGATTTTTGGTCCCCCTTTATGAAAGACACTAAAGTGATGAAATATGACAGCATGTTGGGTGCGAACCTTTGAACGCGACTCAAAATGTTCTGTTGATGTCTCAAAAATGTCAGATAAGCAGTAAAAACGTGATTTCGAGAAGAGAATGTTAGTTCTAATGGGGGGACCCAAATATCCCGGGTTCCAAATTTCCCGGGATTTTTGGTCCCCCTTTATGAAAGACACTAAAGTGATGAAATATGACATTATGTTGGGTGCGAACCTTTGAACGCGACTCAAAATGTTCTGTTAATGTCTCAGAAGTGTCAGGTAAACAGTAAAAACGTGATTTCGAGAAGAGAATGTTAGTTCTAATGGGGGACCGAAATATCCCGGGTTCCAAATTTCCCGGGATTTTTGGTCCCCATGTTACGACCATTGGTGGGGGACCCAAATATCCCGGGTTCCAAATTTCCCGCGATTTTTGGTCCCCATGTTATGACCATTGGTGGGGGACCCAAATATCCCGGGTTCCTTTCCCGGGATTTTCGGTTCACATCTTATGAAAGCGATGAAATATGACAGCATGTTGGATGCCAAACCTTGAACACGACTCAAAATGTTCTGTCGGTGTCTCATATTTGTCAAGTTTGCAGTAAGTAAGTAAAGGGTGTTAAAGGGTGTTAAGAAAAAACTGAAATGAAAAACATTAAAGAAATTATGAAAGACATTAAAGTGATGAAATAGGACAACACATGGATGCGAACCTTTTACCACGACTTGTTCTGTTGGTGTCTCAAAAATGTCAAATTAGCAGTTAATAAATTTCGGTCCCCTGTTATGACCAATGGTGGGGTACCCAAATATCCCGGCTTCCCTCCTGTGAATTAAAGTGATGACATACGACAGCATTTTCGATGCCAACCTTTATAATTCATCTCAACTTAAAATGTTATGTTTCTGGCCCCCTTCTGCCATATATGGAAGTGGCCCCAAATTTCCAGGCGCCCCCATATATATCTCCCGGAACACCGGCATGCTCCATCGTAACGGGTGCAACATCGCAAACGTGGGGACCGGCGAGTGCACCTGCCTCGACTTCGTCTGCCGTGGGCCGGGGATGGACAGATGTAAACACGTTCAGGCCGCCGGACTATTCCATACTGGGGCCGACCGCGAGGTAGAGAAAGCCCAGGTTGCCATCTTCCTGAGGAACCGCGAGAGGCTGCAGCTGTGATACGCTGTGTTCTCGGCACATTGTGAGGAGAACGACATTCAGCCCATCACTCCAGTGCCCGAGAGGGAGCTACCAGAAGGCGCTAGACCAGCTCCACTGCACCGGAAACGACCGTGGAGAAGGTTGACCACCGCCGACAGCCACCAGCCTCGGGTGCCTTCCCGCGCCAGGAAGACCAAAGGCGCGAAGCCACGACGACCAGCTCGACTGGCACCCACCAACCGTGGCGGAATAGACGCACCAGAAACAGACGAAATCGCCTGCGTCTGTGGGGTGAACGAGGAGAGCGACGAGGTTTTCGTGAACTGCGTCATCTGTGGTCGTTGGAGCCACACGGCATGCTACGGCTTGGGGGACGACGTAACCAAGTTCGTGTGCTGGGAGTGCGGTGACCAGCCAAAGAAGAAGCGCCGTCGTTAAGACACAGGTCTACTTCCGATGTACATAGCTCCAGCCCTCCAGTAGAATCATTTTTTTTAAATTTTTTCTTGATATACATTGCATAGATGATACTTAGTATGGCATGGTGGAGGAAAATCCATCATGATCCCAGATCAGTTAAAATCAAGAAAGACATTTCACAATAGTCTATCTCTCTTGTACATTGGCCTTTCCCATTCCTCTAGCTAACTATATAGGTTTCTGTATCTATACAGCTACTTAGATCCTGCAGGGCTTGTCTTTCCTGCTTTCACCGCTCCTCTACAGATCATAACCACTAGTCTATAGTTAAAGCTCAGCTACCCGCTGGTTTAGGACAAGTCGGCTAACACATGCATTATCAGAAAATGTGACATCGCTTGGACTTCACCATGCAACAAAACATGTTATCCCCATTCATTAAGACTCAGATACTTCCTGTTACAGGATGAAGCTGACATATGGACGGTCTACTAGGGTGTTGGTGGGGAAGCTGTGCTTCCAAAGTGGAGGCAACAAGTGGTGGCGTGAGGCCATGTCAGCCTATTCTATGGACAGTGAGGCTGTCACAACAGCCTTGAAGATTGAGATTACCCTACAGCACTTCTTGTGCTAACCTGTGCCCATGCATTACAACCAACTGACCTGAAACTTTGTACATGTCACACCTTTGGCATACATCTCTTCCATTGTCTTGAATTTGCTAATTTTAGACCAAAACTGTATACTTTCAGCTCCTGTGCTCGAATGACCTGAAATTGGTACATACGAACATATGATCTCCATTCATACTTCGTCAACTACCCTGCCACTAACCCCAACCCTACTGACGTGTACGAGAGACCACGTACAGGCACCCCGGTCCCCCGTCAACTACCCTGCCAACTCAAGTCAGCAGTGGCCTGCCACTAACCCCAACCCTACTGACGTGTACGAGAGACCACGTACAGGCACCCCCGTCAACTACCCTGCCAACTCAAGTCAGCAGTGGCCTGCCACTAACCCCAACCCTCCTGACGTGAACGTAATTTTAAGCAGTTAAAGTCCGCTCAGTGCAATTATCCGAACACCCCAAAAAACATGGCAACTCACATTTGAAGGCAGCATTGAAAGAGTATCATGTGCGACACATGCAGCACCAGGACTACACAAACCTGACTAAGAGGGTAGTGTTGGAACAAGTCGGCCCACTACTACGGGACAAGAAGGGTAGGCTCTACCGCCGGAGGCTGGCCAGGATATTAATTAAGGACTGGATCGCCCAGTGACCCGCCCAGGGATCAGTTTGTTTTCACTAGTTGAGTAGACTACAGTAGACTTAATGAAAAACGACATATCCGGACGTTACCGGACCTGTACATGTCCCGTGAAACTTGACCGAAGGCATAAAGCAGGCAGGCGTTGACGCAGGTGGTCTGACCAAAGAATTATTCTTTTTTTCCAACAATGCACATCGCCAAGCAGGGGCCTGTTCGAAAGCCCAAGCACGCACTCCAACTTTTTGCTACCAGTTTGTAAGGGGTCCGCCGTAAAGGGGCCCCTTGTTGAAGATCATTGGGCAGGCTGTCGCTGTGTCCATAGCAAACAGAGGAGCAACTTTTCCCTTTCTCTCACCACCTGTGTTTGCATACATGACCCAAGCAGAGCCCCAGCAGGAGACCTGGCCAGCAGAAACCCTGCTGCCTCGGTTCCTTCCAGACGGCAATGTCAGAAGAATAGTTGAGGAGGTCTGTGCCAAGATGGGCGAGGAGGATGGGAAGAAGGTGTCGTTCCGGGAGGGCATCTTCACAGCACTGTCCTTCTGGCTGGAGGCCCGGGAGAACGCCGACGCTCCACCCGGCTCTCCCTGGAAGCAGAAGAACGGGTACTCGGCCAGCCCGAACACTATGGACGAGCCCACCTTCTTCACCTACTTCTTCACGACACGACATTTGACAGGCAGTCCGACTGCACTACGGTTTCCAATCCACGGGGGATATTTCCTAGACATAGCCATCACAAACAACAAAGACCTCGGAGGTCGGAAGCTGAACAGGCTGGAGATACACTGATACAGGGATGATATTTCCTTCCACGGCGTAACTACTGAACAAGGCCAGGATTACAGACATCCCATAACTGGCGAGTTCAGTAGATACTGCCTGTATGATCGGCTACATGAATCCAACACAAAACAAAGAGCGGAGATTCAAACAAGATTGACGTTTGTTCCTGAGATGAATGGTATTGTAAATAGCCAAGCCGCAGAACAATGTCATGCTACAATAAAAAAAGATCTCCATTTTCTAAACAACATGGGAACAATCACCCATATCTTTACAACCAGGCTGTTAAAGCCATGTAAGAAATGTTTCCATCAACAAAATAACAAAGAAAGACGTAGAAAAGAGGATCGGAAACCCCACAGGTGATTTTTTCCCTAATGTGCTATCATAACAATAGTCTGGGTAAGTCAGTGGTTTACTGAAGGGTTTCACCTCAATATCAAGGTGGTGAAATTATTGATAAAGCCCAGAGTTCGAATAATTATTACGAGTTGAAAGTACCCACTTGACTAACAATTTTTCACTTACTTCTGATCTGATATACAGTTTCCTCTCTTGTTCCGGTGACTACAGACTCTACATGCCAGCCGGGCTACGCCACGTGCTGTTACACATGACACACGTGGCACCGGCCAACACCATGCGTCCTGAGTGGGGACCAGGCGGAGAGTGGCAGCAACCCTCTTTCGTGGACTCTGGGTGAGTGTTTTTTTTTTATTCATTTTCACCCAAAATAATTATCATTATTTTGGGATTAAGAAAAATAGTATCTACAGAACCAGAGCAGTTACTTCCGCTAGACCTAGACAAATCTATCTATCAGAATATGATATTAACCAGCAACCCCCCCCCCCAGTCATATGGCTACAAGGTGCCTGGGAAGATGGTCAAAATCCCAGTTAAAGTATCCCAGTTAAAGTTGGCAGTCTGCTATATGATGGTAACTGTATTTTTCTCTACATGTCTATTTACATGTGTTTTCATATTTTACATTATGTATAACTTCCAGAACCCCAAGAAAATATTATCATAATGATATTTGACAGTGGATGGTTCACAAGTAACATTATTTACTGAAATTAAATTTACTTGCCTCATTCTGCATAGTTTAATGAAAGTCCACAATTACATGTAATAGGCTGAGGACATCATGATCATGCTGTTCCCATTCTTTCTATGCATGTTTACCACCGGACTTAAAGCTTAAGTACATAGCTCTAATTTGCATTATCTTCTGTATCTTCTATATCTTTAGAATAAAAGATCTAAGTCATGACTTCTTACAATCTTGAGTGGCTATACATCCTATTGTATGTTGTAATTTGATCTATAAGACAGTATTTCTCCTGAAAATTTAGGAGAAAGACGCATCAAGTTTACTATGAAGGAAAAACTGCCAGAAATGCTGTGCTTCCTCCTACCAGAGGTCAGTATGGAGTATAATGATAAAGTACAAAAAATCTACATTTAATAGCAAAATTGCTGAAATTATTGAACCAATACATGCACTGTGATGTACAAAATGTATCTTCAAGTGAGAAATAAGATAGGCTTTAATGCAATAACTGTCATTATTGGTGACTGTCCTTATCACCAATTGTTTATGAAGTGACACAGTACAAAAGTAATGGGCATGTGTCAGCCTTTGGGAAAATGATCACTTTATAATCATGCGCTGCGCAAGTCGCTCAAGCAAAATTTGGCACAAAGTCGGCCGGGTTATGTTATTCATGTTATTCAGATTATCTATTGGAAAATAGGTCTCCCTTCTGGAACTTTAGGGTTCTTTTAAGTTGAAAGCTGACTGTCATGTCAAAGTTTCAGAATGTACAATTCTTTTTCAGGCAGAAAAGGCAAGTTTTGAGATAAAGGTGGCTGTGACAGTCCAGGGTGTGGAGGGTGAAGCAGAAGAAGGGGACTTCATGGTGGAGGAGCATCAGTACAGTCCTGCTGCAGACAGCTCAAATGATGCTGTGGTCCTCTTCCCATTGAAAAATGGTGATGAAATGTGAGTTAATATCTTAAAATGTCTCTATTAAATGTGGAAGAATAGGCATCCAAAGAGCATGAACTTACAGAAGATAATACTGGTGCAAAATGACAGCCAAAAAGAAGAATCAAGGAGAAGGAAGACGTACAGGTCTTCCATGTTGGGTAAACTACCAGGCAAGTCCAATAGCATAATGGAGTCAATGACAGACCCAAACAACAAGTGGTACGTCCAGGATCTGTTGGCAGAATGGGAAGAGATATTTGTATGTAATAATAACATAGTACAACATGGAAGGGGGCACCCACGCCACCATCTATGGACACTCGCATGAAGGTAGATCGGGTAAAGCTAGACCACTTCATCGCATTCATCACCAGAGCCCATGTAGTACAAGATCTTCCATTTGAAGAGGTCTTGAAGCTTTCATCTGACAATCTGTGAAAGTTTTTCAAGAGCTTCTGCACCAGTTTGGCATAGTAACGAGCCCGGATCTTGTCACCATAAGAAGGGACCTCCTCTCTAGTGGTGTGACTATTCCTGTAATAGTTTTAGTTCGAATTTACAGTGTATGTAATTGTTGGAGATTGTCATGTAGACATGTGATTCTTTTTGTGTGTGACAGAGAAGGTTTGTAGATCTGTGACTATCCATTCTACAGTAGTACTCATCTCCAAACATACAAAAGCGCCCTCCTCATCACTTCCCACAACAACGCCATTGCACCCTGCCGATGCACGCCTGCAAAGGAGGCTATAAATGGAAAGGGACTCATTTGTTATCATTGTCATAACATCAATATCATAGGTCGTACGCTAACACGACGAAGTATGCTTTTATCAGCATGTTACCTTAAAAGGTCCTCTGTGTGCGGAAGAAATATATCCACGTATGTGTGATCCTTTTTACCAGTGTTGTGTGGGAGAGAAAACTTTCTGTATGTGTGAGACCCTTTTACCAATGTT